ATTCCTGCGAGGTGCAGAGCTGCTGGTCGATGAAGGCTAGACGGCTCTCTGAGTAGCTCCTCTCCTCGCTGAAGTTCCTGCTCATTTGGAAGTGTGAGACGTCTCTGCCGTTGGCGGCCCCCCCACTGTTTGCCATTCAGTTAATGGGGCCCACCCACCCACACACACACACACACACACACACACACACACACACTAAGAAGTGCGCACACATCCATGGATCCCCCCTCTCTTTTATTATGGGAATTCCAGGCATATATGAACCAAGCAAGGAAGGCAAGTGCTGTTACCCCCCCCCGGCTGCCAGTATCCCCTCATTCTTATGGGGCTGAAGCAGGCGAAAGGAGCTGGGGGGGGGGGGCAGACCAAGAGGAGGAGCAGGCAAGGAGAGCTCGTCTAATTCATCAATAATCTTTACCTAATCCCTCCCACTCCCCTTCTCCTCCTCACTCCTCCTCTCTGCCTGGGGCCGTTCAAGCAGCACATCCATTCCCCGCACACCGCAAACACACACACACACACACACACACACACACACACACACACACACACACACACACACACATCATTAGGTTTCTGCCTCACACGTCCGGGGGAAAAAGATGAATCCCGCTTGAAGGTGTTAGTTCTCTTGCCTCCATCAGTGTGTCACAGTTTGTGTGTTTGGGCTGCGTGAGTCGGCGCTCCCCGAGGAGGGCCGTGTGTGTCGGGCCGGGGGGGCTCGGATGGTGATTGCACAGCAGAGAAGTAGGTGTGGCGAGATGGGGCGGCGTCAGAGGCTTTGTCTCTAGTTCCCGCACAGCCCACCAGCACCGGTGGGGTGGGGGGGGAGGCTGTTTGCCGTCTGCCACGAGCGAGCTGCTACCGCTCTCACACCCCAGACCGGACCCCTACTTTCTCCAGCCTTACATTTACATTCACACCCTCCAGAGCTATAAAAGCAGAGAATATGAAAGAGTGTTGGTCTCGAGTCCTCTATAACAATCTGACACCGGACCCCCCCGACCACGGGCGCTCACAGCAGCAGCACCGCTGCAGGAGGCTCCCACCCCCCCCCCCCCCACCCCCCCCCGGGGCCCGGCGCCACAGCGGGAGCGATCGCAGAGCTCGCCTTTGCTTTCTTTCCTCTTGTTGCTTTTTTTTTCTTTTTACAACCCTCATTTATTCTTCTGGCGCAACTCGTGAACCAGTGAAAGAAGAAGCTCCAACTTGTGTGGAGCTGCTGAGCGACGGAGCTTTTTGGGGCTTTTTCCTTTTTTTGGACAGCCTTGGTTTTTATTTTCTCCAGATTCAAAGGATGCAGTTTAAATGATAAAAGCATTTGGAATATGGGACTTTTAATCTATGATTTGGACCACAGGGACAGGCAACTATGTTTTTGTGCTCCGCTCTGGGTAATTTTGATAAGTATGTCACATTTATTCCGTTTGTTCCACGGTGATTTTTGCCCTACTTTGATTAGCTGTCGTAACTCGGGCGTCGAGCTGTGTTGACTTGTTTTTTTCCCGAGTGCAATGCGACGGGTAACAAGTGTGTGTGTGTGTGTGTGTGCGCTCTGCTCGAATACAAACACGCGTTTTATTCTGTCGCGCGGCTTTTCGCCCCCCCGGAGAGCCCGTGTCTCCGTCGAACGGCTGAGCTGATCGGATGTGTCTCCGCCGACCTCCGACACGTGAGCGACCTGTTTCATCGGACAGCTGCTGCTCCGGATGCTTTCACATGTTCCACTCAAGCTTCTAGCCCTTTGCTCTGCGCTCTCGCTACCTTTAATTAACCCCTTTCTGTTTGAAATGAGTGACAGGCTGTATTTCAAAGGCTTGACCGCTCTTCTCTTCTCTCCTCTCCTCGCAGCTCTTGCAGGTAAAATCTCCCCGACCGGCTCCGATGTTCTCCTCGGCCCCTCGGCGGTCACCGCCAGTCCTTCGCCGCCCGACGTGTACCTCCCGGCCAACTTCAAAATGTCCAACGCGCAACTGGCCTTCTTCCTGCGGGAGGCTCAGATCGCAGGACAGACGGCCGGCGGTGGCGGCGGCGGCGGCGGCCCGAGCGCCGGACACCCGCTGCAGCGCTCCGAGAGCTTTGTGGTTTTCCAGACGAAAGACCTCCCCGCCATCAACATCAGCTTCGGGCCTTTTGCCCGGGACCAGGCCCTGTCCAAGGAGCTGCTGCAGCCCGCCAGCCCGCTGGACATCCCGGGCCGGCTGACGGTCAACTGGAAGGTGAGGGCCTTCATCGTCCAGGCCCGGGTCTTCTCCAACAACCCCGTGGTGCAGGTGTTCTTCTACATCGCCGGCCGCGACTGGGACGACTTCAAGGCCCAGGACCGGCTGCCCTGCGTCCGCCTGCACGCCTTCCGGGACGTCCGCGAAATCAAGACCTCCTGCCGTATGAAAGGCAACCTGGCGCAGTGCTTGGCCCAGCTGGAGCTGCCGCCCTCCTGGTTCAACGCCAACGTGGCCCCGCTGGGTCGGAGGAAGGGCTCCGCCGACGGGCTCCTGGACGGGCTCACCGGCGAGACCCTGCAGGCGGAGCTCTACTACACGCTCCACGGGCCCGGCGTGGACGGGGAGTGCAGCGAGGGCTCCGGCCACCGGAGCGCCGGCGGGGCGTTCAGGGGAGAGCCTCTGTCACAGCACCCCCTGCTGCGCATCGGGAGCATCAGCCTTTACCAGGCCGGCCAGGAGCAGCTGCTGGTGGACAAGCAGCTGGACAAGAACATGTTCCTCAGGCTGCCGGAGAAGCCGCTGAAGCCCGGGGAGACCCTCAAGATCTCCCTCTACCTGATGCCCAACTCCACCGTGGAGCAGTTCACCCTCAGGTAGGCCTCCTTTCGAATGCACACCGATGACATACTCCCGTGGGGCCCATCAGATCGCCTCTGGGACGATTCTGTTTCCATCCACTCACTCCGTCTATACTGTACACGCCAAAAAAAGGCTTTCCTGCTCCCCTGCAATCATGAAGAGTTACAGCTGAATAGATAATTTGACCGGTTCCTGGCAGACCTCCGCAAACATTCCTCATTCCCTTCCTGTCACGAACTGCAGCCTCATATCTCCCTTTGTGATTAAAGTCACACGTCTGCATTTCGTCTGCACGGAGCGAGACGGCCGCGCACGAAATGTTGGATCTGCGTGTCCAAGCAGCCGCCCGGTAATGGGACAATTATCCCGGCGCTGAGTGTCTCCGTTGCGGTCGTGATAATCAACCTCTCTCAAAAAGCAGCGTGATTAGAAAAACTGTTTTATGCACAACCTCGACGCGAATGTCGTAGAGAAGCACACGATCGCAGCGTGCGATGCGTGTGTTGAAATAACGAGTCCAAGAGCATGTAATCACGTATTTCATCCCCCTCATTAAGTTCTTCCTGTCGAGGGCCGTGATGTGCCTGCAGTAATTAAAGCCAGGTAAGATGGGGGGTGGCGTTGAAGTGCAGCAGCACTGTGCGCTTCACCTCTTGAAGTGGAGGCTTAACGGCCACAGATTCCTTCTGTCTGTGACTGGATGGTTTGAACGATTTGGAGGGAAACGCTTTAAAGGCTCAGCTGGCGGCTGTGCTGTCGTTTCCCCCGCTGCGTCCCGCTGCGTCCCGCTGCGTCCCGCTGTGTCCCGCTGCGTCCCGCTGCGTCGAAGAAGACCAACTGCGGGCACCACTATTGTCATTGATCATCTCACACGTTCTTCTTCCCGGGAATATTGGCTGCTGCTCGTTATCCGAGTAACACCGTAATGGGAAGAGGGCCAAACACTCAACAAGCCAGTTAAAGAATGTCGTCTAAATACGTGTAAAACACGTAAATCACAAAAAACAATGAACTCTATTCTCCTAGAATGAAATTCTGTGATATGAAATCTGAGCCAGCTAGTTGCTGAGTCTGTTGATTGGTGCAACACGGGTTGTAATCGACTGTTACAGCTGCAAACAGCTGGCCGCCGTGGCCCGTAAACGGCAGCGACACGTCCTGAGTCCTGCTGCCTCGTTCCTCGCAGAGCGGCTCCTCTAAATAAACTGACTCGACTCTGTCCTCTCCGGGCCGCCAGCTCGGGGGAAACGGAAGAAACCCAGCGAGACGCCGTCGGAGGCCTCCGGGATGAACGTCCTTCGTTTGTCCGTCTCAGCCGCCAACATTTGCCGATTTAAAAAAAGTTTGAGTTTGAGTTTCTCCGCTCGGCTCTCTTCGCTTGTCGACACGACAGAGGAAATGATTGTTTGCACTCGATGACGCTTGAGGAGGGAAAGTTTTTCTCTGCTCGTCGGCGCGACGGCAGCGAGGAATCCGACGGTACCGACGCACTCAGCAACAGTGATGAAACACAGCGTAAACACGTTCTCAACTGTGTCTCCTACGGTCTGAAACTTTGAGATTAGCGGGATATTAATTAAGCATCAATAATTCAATCAGCTCCGAGGAAAAAAAACAGTCTAGAAATTCTCCCTGCAGAAATGGTTTATTAAGAGTGAATCCTCACGCTTTAATAAACGACCTCAACGTGTTCACTTTTTATAATTCCAATCAGAATTCTGAAAGAAATCCATTTATTGCTCTTTAAAAACACATAAAGGACCCAGTTCATCGACGTGACATTTCCACAGTGGTAATTTCCACATGCAGACTTCATTCTTCAGAGCCGATCAATAAAACCTGGGCGAACACCTCATAACATCCTATCGATGCATTTGTGAGTACGGACATTATTTTATATTTACAGCTGCAGCTCTGATTGGTTTTCATGTTACACAACGCGCCTCTGGCCACAGCAGGTTGTGTGTCTCCACCTCCAACATTAGAGTTCACACACTTTGTGTTTTAGTATCAGGTCCTTTGGGGGATTCAGTCTTTCATAAAGAATGAAGCCAAAGTGTTTAATCTGCAGTTTTGAACCTTTGCTTATTTTTGTCAGGACCTCAGGGTGAAAAAACATCTACAGGGAGACTCAACACGTCTACAAGAGACATAAAACAACCAGAAAAAATGTCTTTAAAGAGACATAAAACTACAAAGAGAAACTAAATGTCTTAAACGAGACATAAAACCACTACAAAGAAAAACACAAAGACAATACAGACACCATAAGAACTACAGAGACGCACAACTACTACAGATAAAACAGGGATTAGGATTTTGTATCATTTTTCACTATCGATAATGATTTCATGGCTTTTCTGGTAAAAGATAAAATAAGCTTCTTGACTGTCGAGGGATCTGCTCTAAAGCAAAAAACATGACAAAATATTTGTACCATTTTTATGTTTCAAGAAACGCTTAAAAACGTGCTCCCGAAATGAACGAGTGAGTTAATTTCCCGCTTGTATCCAGACTGGAGAGCGGACCAGCGTCACGGCGGTCCCAGCCCACGGAATGCCCATCTAGTCAGGCTCCCCCACCCCTCATTTGATGATTTATTTTACGTGCTGACAGGTTCAGGTGATGAGAAAAATGCATCGATGAACCGGGAAGATTTGAAGCCCGGTGGTAACGGGCCAGTCAGGATTCCCACTCCTGGATCCGTCGCCCCCCCCCCCCCCCCCACGCGAGGAAGGCCACGAAAAGATGCAATAAGGCGAGGAATCGGAAGGCCTCCCTCCCCCCACGCCTCCCACTCCCCCCTCTCCTCCTTTGAAGATCGGTGACTTGTTATGGCGTGTCGACGGGCCGGGCGGAGGGCACAGCGGCACGCGGCCACATGTTCAATCCAGCCCACCGCCGCCCCCCAATCGTGTCTGTGTGTGTGTGTGTGTGTGTGTGTCATGCTGTGAGAATCGGAGGAATTGCGCGTTAACTTTGGTTGCCATGGCGACGCAACGATAATAGAGCGGCCGGCTGTATTTGGCGTTCATCGGTCGTGCTCGGCCGGTCGACGCGATCGTTCTTCTTCTTGTCGCTGCAGTGTAACATTTGTTGTTGACATCTTGTCCCAACGCTGGACGCTCTCGTTGTCACGTTTCCTCGAGCTGTTCGTGATCGGCGTTGCTCGTTGGACTTTCCCCTCCCACAAGTTTCCACCTGTTTTTTTTTTTTTCGGTGAAAAATCTCACCGCATTTTCCCAACACGAGTGCGTCTTCCTCCTCCGCCGCCGCTCGTGGACTCGTGGGGCCGGCGATTCCCACGCCGCGTGCGGAGCTTCAGCCGATGAATCACTCTAACGGCTCGCGGTGTCCGGTGCGTGCGTTTACCTGCAGCTTCCCCCACATGAACCACAGGCGCCGCGCCTCTGCTCCCCATGAGGAGGAAGTGCGCCGCGTTAAGCGGTCAATCCTGGGTGATCCTATCGACGCACCGGGTCATTTTAATGAGCCAGTGCTGCTGTGTCCGCTGCATGCGTAATGCATGAGACGCCCAAGAGGCAGAGGACTCTAACCCCCCCGTCTCACCTCTCATTGCACGTCTCGCTGGGTATTGTGTCCCTTTGGGCTCCTTGAGTGTCTCTTTGTAGCTGCGTTTTGTCTCGCCGTGTTCATTTTGAGTCTCTTACTCTCTGGTTGGTTTCGCTCTGATTGACATTTTCTATTTTAAAGGGGGGGTGGGGAGGGGGGGGGGGGGGTCTCTAACACTTTGGACCCCTGAGTCTGCCAGGGCAGTAATCCATCCATGGGCTGCGGGTTTTAAACCCGACAGATCATTGAAGAAATGACTGTGTCAGCCTTAAACGGCGTGCGTGTGAAGGGCGCCCGTGAGTCAGTGACGGGCTGCCAATATACATTTTGGTGGCACATTGACATTTTCCCTGAAGTAAAGCAGCGAAAACGCGTAAACAACCCGGCGGGACCCCGCGTGGGGCTCCCGAGCCCGATCGGACGGTGACCCACATTCAGAGGCCCGCCGGCGCCTCGTGGGGATCGCGGCAACGTCCTGACCCCCCCTCTCTCCCCTCCCCCCCTACCCCCCCCCCTATCGTGTGTCACGTTCCCGCGTCTCACTGGCCCCGGTCGCCCTGATGGGAAATGTCAGTCGGATCGTACGAGCGAGGCAGCGGCACCTCGCCGCCGGCGCGTCTTGTCACCACACATCTGGTGACGAGACGCGCCGCTGTTGACGAGTGATCTGATGAGGAGGGGCGGGGCTTATTGGGCCGCACCACTTCTACTTCCTCTCCCGCTTCCCTTCTTTTCTTAACCTTGAACATTCATTTGGGGCGAGGGGGGGGGGGGGGGTCTTTAATTAGCCAGCGTCCCCTCTGGAGGGCCGCTGGCACGAGTCACAAAGAGGGGATTCCGTGTGCGTGTGCCAGTACTTTAATGAAATGTGCTGTTTTGAGCTGGAGTTTGTTTGTTTTTTAATTGGAGGAAGTTGCATGAGTCGGCTCTTTATGGAGGATCGTTCCTGCTGATGTGATTTTGTTGAACCTGGTACCTTTTGTTTAGGGAAGGTCTTGGGCCTCGTGCCTCCTGAGGGCTCCTTCACTTCGCTCAGCAAGCCGTCGCCTGTTGGTTCGGTTTTCAGACAAACAAACCAAAGCACAACCAATTGAGTCCGTGCACACAGCTGTAAACTCGTGATCCATTTACATTCATTCCATGTGAAAATCTATGCGTTGTTAATGCAGCCGGTGTTCTGCAAGTGCTGCAGAGGGGCGGGGAGGGGGGGGGGGATTAATCAGCGGCCATTTTCCTAATTAACCACTTAATCAAACTTTGGTGAACGTGCTGTGTTGCCGTTAATTGGGCTTTTAAAGCGGCGTGTTGGCAGAGAAAACTGCACATTTTCACGGCTACGGTCCATTAGCGCCGCTAAGTGTGACGCTGCTCCGCTCTTTGCGTCAGTGTCCAGGTTGGCGATGGAAACGTTGTTTTGTTTGTTTGACAGACGTAATGTGAC